GAAACTGAGCCCAGGAAAACGCCTTTGTGATCTTCTCTTTCGCTTTACGTCTAGTATCAGAGTGTGGTGTGTGATTTTTCGGCCAAAAATCAACCGTAGAACGTCCAAATCGCATTTTTCTCGAAGGGGCCAAACCAATAATTGTTGATTCTAGCCAAAACAGTCATCGATTGGAGAAACAGAGCCATACCCATACGCAGTAGGCTGAGGCGCTCCTTCTTAGGCGGTGATTCTGGTGGAGCCCTCTTCAAACATGTTGTTTATTGGGGTTACCATGTGGGGTAACTATTACTTGTGCTAAAAATTAAAAATTACTTGCTCTTACGTGATTTAATTATTTATGTGATAAAATCAGTTTATTATCTTAGTGATATACCGCATGTGAAATTGTTTGGTTGGTATATCTCTTTATTTCATCGTTAATTCTATTAGAATATCTAGACATTATTCGTTTGAACATTCATTTGATCTAAGATCGCGAATTTTACAAAACCTTTAGAATCTAGAATGGTGTATACTGTCTGCGACCCTAGAACTACTTTGTGTGGTTTAATTGTGATTCTGTGCTTTTTTTATTTATTCATAAAAACAATAACTCACAATTTCGATTTGGAAATTTTTAACGAAAAATGTGATTTTTCGATCTGGAAATAAAAAAAAAAGAGGTATTTTAGTTTAACAAAATGTTTCAAAAGCCATTGATGACAATTTTTCTACTGATTTTTTAAAAGATCAAAAGGAAAAAGCAGATGAACTTGCTTACACTTCAATCATTTTACACTCATCTAACACTGTTTTGGAAAAAAGTTGGTAAACTGAAAACCAATAAAGAACTTTGAAAAAAAATTGAGGATTGTATTTTTTCAAATTTACTCTGAACAAACTTTACTTACTTGAACGTTTTTTTAGTTTTAAAATGGATCTTTCAAAAGATCTTGACAATAATTTAAACGTGTTTAAGAAACTTGTTCAAGATATTGTTAACTGTGAAGAGACGATGTCTGAGACCTACAAAGCTATAAT